AAAGGAGGTTTTGAGTTTTGTGTGTATTCTCATTTGATCAAATGGATCACGTTTACAGCTAGTCAATTGACCGATTGTAGCCGCCGTGAGGTTGCGAAAGACGCATCTTTCATAAGAAGGGATTTTCAAAAGCGAAAATAAGAAGGGGTAAAAAGCATGTCTTTTACTACGGATACGGAAAAATAGCTAATTTATCTAACCTGGCCGAATTGACAAGTGGGCCCCGACTCATTGCTCTGGCTGGAATAATAAACAGCTACGTATGTAATGAATCAACACGAGTAGCAGACTGGAAAATTCGGCCGAGGCCTACCCTCCGATGTTTCCCCCCACGTAGAAGGAGAGGGACAAGGGAGTTCAGAAACAAACAATATGTCAAGTACCTTGACAGCGCCCTGCTTGGGCAAGCTTTGGCACAGATGGTCTTCTAAAGAACCATCATTCCAGAACCATCATTGCAGATTCCTTTTCGTCCAATTCCTCAGCAAAGAGCTCGTCATCCCGATCATCCGTTGCGGAACTGGCATCCAGCAACGCTGCCCCATCGGTCATCGTCTCCTCGCAAGGAACCATTTCGCCAGCGAAAATGTACTTTCTCTTATGGAAGAACTTCAACAAACGGATGCCCAGGACGAAGTTGGATGGGTTGTTGGCCGTGATTTCAATGTCTGTAGCCTTGGCGAGGCGGCCTTCTCCCTTCACCTCCGCGTTGAGTTCCTCGGTGCCCAGCGTAACTGCTGCTCCAGCACCTGCATCAAACTGCTGGCCATCAGCAGTGGAGAAGGTCGTTCCCCATGCGACCTTCAATCCGGTTATAAGATAGATCGGTTTCTTGTAGCCGGTTGACTTGAGATACGTATCAACATCGGGGAGTTCTCGGCACTGTTGGATGTAGTCCTTGGTTGGTTCGAAGTAGATCGTTTCGAGTTTCTGGATGTGGAAGACATCACTGTCGGCCCTGACCCCCTTCAGCTCCGCGTGACCGCCGATGCTGCGGTCGAGAACCTTCGCTATGGTCTTTGTCTCATAGGTACGGGCTGAGATAGCGCTTATGTCAACGTTTTCTTTGACGGACACTTGTAATTTGGGGACAGGAATAGGGTCATTTTCATTGAGGAAAATCCAATCCTTGATATTCTCCACGAATCTGCCCAAGGCAAATAGTCCATCTGGAGGGGGAACGATGTCGAAGTGAGGGGCAACGATGTATTTAGGGTGCTGCCATCTCCGAAAGTCGGCTGCACTGCCATGGCCCGGCATCTTGCGTCCGCGTGATTCTATTCTGATGTCAAAAGAGTATCCAGTGAGATTGATGAGAGCGGCGGAAACCACGGACAAGTTGTAGAAGGAAGAAAGGAAACAGAGAGACCTGGGAGAAAGAGGGGTAGGTTAGTGTCACAGCGCAGAGTTTTCACCTGAGCTGATCAAGTGTAACGATACTTGGCCCTATTAGATGGCGAAGATTCATGAGATAATCAAGTGTAACAACGCTGGGCGCCTTGGGATGGTGCGCGATGATGAGCAAGTGGCTTACGTGGGCTTCACGAGAGACATGCCGCGCGCGGTCAGGCTGAGAGCTGTAGTCTGTAATTAAAACATTTCCTGAAGAACACCATGCCACCCTGTCATGTTCGACCCAATGTGTCTTTCCCTCTAATGGCCGTTTCTATGCTCCAGGCCATGTATAAATCAATATGTGGGCGACGCCTACTCCGCTGCCGCAATCGCGACAAAATCCAAGCTCTTTACAGCAACCAGTCCAGTAAATACGTGCGCGAACCCATATGGTCCTTTTTCTAGACGTCCCGTAGGGCTTTCTTCACACGGTCTACTGCCCTCTGTACTGCGTCTGAATCTTTCCAATTGCACATGTATTTCGGATGAATGAAGTCATAACCATGGAGGTCTTTCGCCGACATCTTTTTCAGGACAGCCTCCATGCCCTTCTTCCTTCTGAGTTTCTCGACCTGCAAAGCCTGAAGGCCGGGTACCTTGGCCTCTATGAAACTCAGTATGCATGCAATGAACCCCGCCGCGATTGGTGCAGCATACGAGGTCCCCGCTTTGAGTTCAAATTCGCCTTTCTGGAGGACGTGCACCCCATCTCCAAGCGTCGAGAAATTCGTCTCGTCCACCAACTTGCCGGGGTTCATCTCGCTCACGCAGCCGTAGCCATTTGCGGCATGAAGACAGATCACGCCATCCAAGCAAGCCGGTCGAGCACGCCTTTCAAGGATGCCGCTATTCGAAGCGGCGGCGATGACCAAGACACCCGCCTTGATGGCGTTGTCGACGGCTGTGTCGGCAGCGTCATGGGCCACTCTGTACCCTAGCGACAGGCATATGATGTCGGCCTTGACCGTATTCGTAGCCCAGTCTATTGCCTGCGTTTCCTGATGTTAGATCTTGCTGGAATGGAGTAGATGCTAATGGAAAACTCACCTCCGCAAGTACCGTGTTGTTCGGATTCTCCCTGCCTTGACAGATCTTGCCGATAATTATTTCGGCAATGGGCGCAACTCGCATTGTGAGTTCGGCCACAGCTGTCCCATGCATGCTGTCATCCTGGTTCCAGGGGGCGCTGGTAAAGCTCTTGGATTCTTGTTCATTTATACGCTTAGAGCCGATAGCTCGACGAATGACCTTGTGCTCTCTATCTACCCCAGAGTCTAATAGAACGATCCGTTTCTTGCCGTTGCCCTTGGACGTTGGGCAGTCGGAATTGCCTCGAATCTCCTCTATACACTGAATGAAGGCATCGGCATCGTTGAAGAACTTTTTGGATCGATACCTGCACGTTTTGGTAAGCACGTGAAGGGCGGTGATGGACGATGATTGAAGGTTTAAGCAAGCTTACAGCGAATCTTGGCAAAGAGGCCGATCCCGTGCATCAAAGGCACACACCCTCTCGGGGAGGACGATGTTGCGGAATAGAGGGAGAGTGTCGTCTTGGCCAAAAATTGCTGCGAACACATTTTGGAATTCCTCGGAGCGCTCGATATTGTGTCGGAGTACTGGCTCGAGCACGTATTTGTAGATAATGGCCGGCACCTTCATGCCCTGGGGCAAATCGTAATCTGGTAGGCTTCCGACAAGATTGTCAAAGTCAAGGCATGAACGAGCAATTCTCTTGTTTTCGTCAATAATGTCTCCCTCCCACTCACGTAGTAGCCGCCTTAGGCGCATCTGGTGTGACCTTTTCCCTGAACGAGATTCATCATCTGGACTCCAGGACGCTTTGTATCCCGCGTCAAGCTCAAGAATGAGCACGCCTAACGCGGCAACGCTATCAGCGGGGTCGGAAATCCCCGTGTCGGGCACGAGGTCGCATGGCGCATGAAGACGCCACTGGCCATTTGGTTGGTCGTCGGTAACGCAGAGAGAGAGACACTCGGCTTGAAAAGGCTCCTTCACCCAAGGACTTCCACAGAGTTGGAAAAAAGTAATGGCCAGCAAGAATATCGCTAGTGAGCGGTACTCTGATGTTAGATATTGTGCATGCGCAGGGCAGGAGATGTCGGCAGGGGCGTCTTTGTCGGCAGGGGAGGAGACTTTCTCGTCGAGGAAGTCTCGCAACGATTTTTCTGTGGGCGAGAAAGTCAACGGGTTGGAACCATTGTCTTTATTCGAGGGCCACATCCCGTCTGAATTGTAGAGAATACGCAGCGCCTCAGCATTATCTGCCGAAGAGCAAATGCTGTCGAGAAATGTGATGCCCGATAGCGGTTTCTCGGAGTCGCTGCTGAGCTGTGCGTTAGGGAGGAAAAGCCATGTTTACCTGTAGACTCTGGTGCACTTACTGGGTGAATACTGTCGGTATCCATCGCTCGTTTGTAGTGTTTTGACACTTGCGAACCATCATTTTCAACTGCCTCTCCTTAACACCAGAGAGGTCAATTTTAGCTTGATGCTTGGTAACACATGTGGTCTCTCGGGTCAAGTGGGAGAACAACGAAGTCGACAAAGATGAGCACATGTAAGCCTCGTGTATGATCTTGTACTCTTCTTTTGAGAATGTCGATTCAGTTTTGACGGATGCTTTCTCGATATCATCTAAGAATCTTTTGAACCCTACCCTGAGCATATTGATAGTACGTTTGTCTTGAGGGAATTGGACGAGGCGTGCGGCATGTGCGATACGTGCGTCGGGAGTATCTTCCCCAGTAGGGCCATTGTCAAGCAAGACGTCGCGCAGAATATTCAGATTTCGATATCGAGGGGAAGAGCCTGAGCCAACTGCCGAATCTTTCTGGGATGTGGCCAAAAAAATGTTAGCGATATTCCAAAATCTTTGGGGAGGAGTCAAACCTTATCAAGCACTACCTCCAGTTGGTCTGCAAGATGTTCCACCGCATAGTTTAGATCCCGGAATGTTGGATCATTGATGTCCCTGTGGTTGATCCGGATGGATTGATGTTTTTTCTGGGCTAACTCTAGCATGTCTTGGAACAGAGAAATGGCGGCCTGCAGCGACTGATCACGATCGGCAGGATTTGGAAAGTTTTGAGGGGCAAGAAAGAAGGGATAAAGATCTAAGACCAATTCCCATGTTGAGGGGATGCCATTTGAGCCTGGCATGATGGATGGGGGGTGCTACTGCTGGTGTCAGCATGCAGAGTGCGGGTGTGGGATGGGACACAGGAGAACAGCGGGGAAGGATGGGTAGGTAGGTAGGTAGGTAAGGACCTGAGATGTGTGTTAGGTAGGTAGCTGCTGGCCTAGGCAGCCAGTCTTAGTGCCTGAAAAGGTACATATGTACCTAGGTGTAGACGCCTCCAGCTGAACGCAAGACGCAGCTAGTGTCACAAGCTGGCGTAGAGGCCGGTTATCGATAGCACCTGCTAATCAAACACGCATTTTATTTTCGCAATATTTAAAATTAGCGTAGTATTGGAAAATGCAGTATTTGAGCATTGGCAGGCCTAGATAGGGGTCTATGAGGTGGTCGATGGGTGACCAAGTTCAGACTTCGATGGCGTAGGTCTATGTTTGTATGTACTGTACCCACGGCAGTCAAATGAGGTGGCTTGGTAGCACTGCAAATTACCTTAGCCATGGACCCCCACGATGAAACACACCGAGCTCAATTAATTGTCCCTAAAAATGATAAATGCACAGCTATATTACGTGCCCCATCATTATGATCAAATTCTAAGGCACCGGCGCCACTGTCTTCCATCTTGGCAGGCAATAGCTGCAAGCCTGAGCAGCCAGTCATGCGTGGCGCTGTCAATTCGTTTGGAGGGCATGAAAAGCAGCTGCTAGTGGCACTGTTTACTACTAAGGCGCTGACAGAATGCCCGCGAAGCAGGCTCGTGTACTGATTTGATCATGCACAAGCTCAGGTCAAGGTCTGAAAATTTGAAAACAAAACTCATCAATACTGACGCATGTAGATGTTATGGACCACGATAATTTTTTTTGTTTTTGCACCGGATTTGCGACGAAATCCACAACATGCAGAGATGCCGAGCAGTCGCGCCAAAAGAACTCGAGGTGAACTTCACCTGACCGCCTCAATTAATACAATTAAACGCGAGTTACCACGTTGGTACAGCCGCTATGCCACCATCTTGATTGCTTCCACGGAATCCACTCGTCCTTCTCCATACAGCAAATGAAAAACAAGACACAGAACACAATTTTGGGGGTGTTATATTGAGAAAGGCCGTGCTGTGACAATGCGCTGGGGCAGGGGAAGCTCGATTGCATATCAGTCATTCTCGACAATGCAAAGAGGGTAGAGGGGGCGATTGATAGAAGCGAGATAAAAGAAGGCAGTAAGGAGAAAAATTAGGATAAAATACAGGGAAGGAAAAGATGAAAACCCGCTAGAATGAGAAGAAAGAAGCTGGAATGATCTGTAGCCACAAGGTTGGACAGTCTCACTCTTGGCAGGCTGCTGAAATGTAGGACCTCGGCGGATTCGGATTACCAGCTTGTATACACACATTCCTCCACCGAGTGAATTCAGTCGACTGTAGGAAGACAGTAATTTTATCAACCTCGATCTGTGTGAACAAATGATCGCCCATCGCTGGGGATTCGTGCTGTAGCCTCCTGGCATCGTATTCCAAAAGCATTGAGATGATTGCCCAGTCCTTAGTCCCGATAGCATAGTCTAGGATGGTTTCATTTGAGTGGGGATGTGATTCGTGAATGTTGGGTTGGTGACGAGAAAGACATTGAACCAGAGCTCTTTTATCTCGGTCTGCTACGATTGACCAGAGGAGACTCGGGATGGCCGAGACTGGCGACGAAATACCAGTAGGGCTGAAATTGCGGAAGTAATGACGTTTAATTGAATCTTGAAAGCGTGCCCCGGAGGCTATAGCGATTCCACAACATTTGCATGTCCCCTAGACACAGCCCAGAAGAGTGGTGTGCGATTTGACGAATCGGCTGAATCCACGTCTGCACCAGCTGCGAGAAGCATGTCTACAATATCGGTGTATCCGCAAAGGGATGCTAATGACAATGGTGTTCGCCTGAATGCTTTGTCGTGTTGTTCAATGCGTGCCCCATTTCTCAAAAGCAATCGGACAATCTGCTTCGACCCGAGTACTGCAGCCCAGAGGAGGGGCGTCATCCCATCAGGGTCTACTGTATCAACATTCGTCCCCATCTCTAAGCAGTATTGAGCTGCTTCAATATGATTGCGCTTCGATGCGGTCAATAGAATCTTGGAATAATGATGGACGTCAAGGTTGGTGCTGAAATTTGGAGACTGAGGCACTTTTGGTTGTTGTAGGAAATGGCGTCGTCTGGTAGTTAACCAAATCAAGATCGGGTCCATCTGAGGGCAGGAACGACGGCGCATCCGCCATGACACCCAAAAGTTGAACCAGATATGAACTCCGTCCCATCTTTCTCTTTCTGCTTGGAAGCGCGTGAGGCGGCGAGGTTTCTCGAAATCTTCAAACCCTATAGAAACAGGTCGCCAGACGACTTCGAGTAACTTATCGGTTTCGTCAGGCGCGAGCACCCCTTTATTGGCGTCCTGCCCGCAGCATGGACAGTTTCTGAGGGAGCTGTCCTCGTCCTCCGCGCGAGACTTTGTAAAGAAAGCAATCTCGGCAGACGTTAGGAAGTAGCCAGCGATATTAAGTGGGATGGCTCCTTCTTTAGCATCCTGGCCACAGCATTCGCATTTCGTCGGCCGTGATGGACGGTAAGAACGCTCGTAATACTCGTAAAACTCGTCCTCGATGGAAAGAGACTTGTCAGAGGTTAATGGCCGCTCGATTCCTTAAGGCAGGGTCACTTACTCTATCCATAGCTTTCTCCCCGCTTGGTTGTCGCGGGTTTCTCGACTGCTGGTCGCCAGCAGACGCGTTCAGGCTAGAGTTTGGAAGAGAAGGAAGTGCATTCAATGAGAGTGATTCAAGATGGTTGGCAATGTGGTCTAGCAGGAGGTTGTTGGTCAATGTAGATGAGGTACCGTCTTTGCCCAAGAGCTGTTCGATGTTTTCTGGAACTCTCATGCAGAGAGGGCAGAGAAACTCATTGGAAGGGGCAGTCGCATTCATTTCAGTAAGCATGCGATCTAGTTGAGTCTCGGTTGGTCGTGTTAGTGGAGGATCATGGTTATCAATGCCTAGAATGTGTTCTCTCCATGCCTGCTCTGTAAGGAAGGTTTGAGGCTGATCATGATTAATTCTGCAGTACCAATTTGGCACGATGTTGCGTACCCAGTTTGGATAGTGCCTTGCCTGCATGTGGGCTTTCCATTCTGTACGAGTCTCAAAGAATGTTGGGGCCGTAGCACACCTAGGGAGGAGGCATAGATATGGCGTGAGATCCTTGTGTATGTGGTCCTTCCAAGCCTTGTTGGCGTCAGACCCTAGTTCCAACTCATCAGAACAGAAAGGACATTGAATCTGGTTTTGTTCTCCAGTAGTTGCTGGAGTAGGTGGGTACTCGAAGGAGTCATCTTCTGACAAGTGAAAGTCGCTGATCGCGGTCGAGAGTGCTTGTGTTTTGGGTAGATCGGTGGGCTTCACTATGTCATCTTGGGTGCTTGAGCGAATGGACTCAGATATACCACTCCCGGACCCTTCCGAATAATGCGCTTCTTTGCTTTTGGTCGGAAGGCTGGCGTATGGCGGAGCGTCTGGCAGTGCCTCCTCATCGTGCTTTTCTACCGAGAGGCCATCTCTTGTTGTACCCCCGGTGGCAACCTCCCGTGCGCGGAGGCATTTGTTCAGGAGTCTTCGGCGTCGAATAGCTATGGACTTTCCCAGCAACGTGTGCAATTGTGGTCCAGCGGCTGGGAATCGACGCCAGATTGAGTGTGTAATGCAGTCTTGAAATACGGAGTCGTCCTTAATAAGGTTGTCGGACTCGTCCATTGTCTGTTGGACATTTTCTTTGCGCAGTCGTCGAAGCTTGACCGCTAAGTCGTATATCGTGTCTACTGCCTCGTGTATGCACTCAGTGACATCTTCAAAAGTCGTAACGAATTCTGGGGCTGGAGCAGTTGAGGGATTTCTAGAAGGGTCATCAACTGGTCGTGTTAGCACGCTTATAAGTATCCGACATGATCAATTTGGCTGAGATAAGTTGACTTACTGGAGGCTAACATTTCAACTATGGTGCCTAAAAAGTCAAGTGTCGCCTGTGAGCTAATAGCCCCTGGGCCCTCTGTGTTGAAATCTAATGACCATGGCTTGGGTGATAGTACTCCGGTGACGGCGATCCAAGAGTAAAAGTCTTTTCGAGTGCTGGAGAAAGAGAAGGAGGGTTTTGCTTCCGTTTCGGAGGAGGGTTCTGTTTCCGTTTCGGAGAAGGGAGCCCTTGTAATCAGTCTCTCCAAAAGCATAGGCCCGTAGTTAGCCCCGATGCTCTCGAAAAGCTGGAGACATTCGTGGACCTTTTCACGAATGGCATATGTCAGGTCGGGCATGATGGCTCGTGCTTGACCGTAGGTAGAACCCAATGATTCGATAGGGATCGTGTAGGAAGGCTCGTAAATGTGTCAGGAGGCTCGCAAACGTCTTGTGTTCGATCGTAGGTGGAGGACAAAGACCCGGCAGGGATGGGTTTTGTGTTGGAGGGCTCGAAGAGGGCTCGTGCTTGATCGTGGGTAAAGCACAAAGACTCGGCTAGGACCGTGCGACACGGCTCGTAAAAGTGTCGTGCTCGATCGTGGATAGAGCCCAAAGACTCGGGAGGGATCGTGTCAGAAGGCTCGTAAATGTGGGTGGCTCGTAGGCGTCCTGTGCTTGATCGGACGTAGAGCACAAAGACTCGGCCGGGATGGGGTTTCTAATTGGAAGGCTCGTAACGTGGCGTGCTCGATCGTGGGTAGAGCTCAAGGCTTTGCACGGATGAGCTTTGTGTTGGAAACGTGTCGGGCACTTTCGAAACGCCCAACGGGGGTTAACGAGAGGGGTAATCGGGCAGCTCAGCTTCGGTATGGGGTGAACCGTTGAAAGGAGGCAGTGTCGGGACAAATATAAGACACGGTACTAGCGTGAGTAGATTTGTAACAGTAATTCCCTTGAATTTTGGAACGGACGGGATGATATAGATATAATATTGTGCACAATGGACGTAGAGACAGAGATTGACAATTGCAAAATGGACGACAGAGATTGGCAACATTGATGGTTAGTTATTGGGCAAGCTGCACAAAACATAATTGATTGGCTTGCATAAAGATCAGGAGTACTTCTAATTGTTTCAAGGTCATGTACTATTGTCTTCTTGTTTCACGCCCAGCGACAAGCATTGCCTTGCCGAAGGAAAGTACCGTTGCACCATCCTACTTGTTCCTAATAATAAGTAGTGTGTACAATATCGCCTCTGTAAATCTGGTACGGAGTTGCACACTTCCCGCCCCTAAATGTTTGTCTCAGTGTAGAGATATACATAGATAATACTGAGCAGACGTATTTTTCCAACTTTTCTTTACGATATACAAATGGTCCCTTTGACTTTGACATAAGAATGAATTTTCAAGGCATGATAATGCAGGTACAGGTACACAACGCCCCGTATTGTTCTTCAGCCGCACAATGCTAAGGAACATTGGATATTTTGTACACCCCTCATAGCCGACGCTCGCTTCTCTATCACAGTTCTTTGTATCCGACGCAATTTTTTTTTTGGTTCGAAACAAAAGGAAGAAGAAAGCAAGAAAGAAAAACACAGCCACCCTCAAAAAAGCCACGTTTGTCCCCTATACCATAATATGTAGGCTCATTTGCATCGCCCTTGCGCTGGAGCAACAGTAAGCAAATGTTTTCTTTCTTCTTGGTGACATCATAGACACCTAGAAGACACGCGGTTAGGTAGCACATCAATAAGGGCCAAAGTGCCTGTCCCGACCCTGCTCCCAGTGCACAGATTAGTCCCTGTGGACATGAAGCCTTAGTCGATGGGCCTGAGTCTACATAAACAATGGAACCTAGTAGACCTACAGTAGAGCCGGGGTTGGGAACAGAGATGGTAAGCCATAGAGGTTTTAATGTTAATAATCAAAGCTGCATTGTTATCGCCTATTGTAGAGGTAATGGTTAGATTGGTGCTACGATCCATTGGCTACCGAAAGAGTTTGGTCTTTGTAGGCTTGGAGCAACGCTATGCACTCCGTCAACTACGGTGATTTTACCACGCAAGGGTCTAGAATCGGTTACATATCATGTTTCATTACATCGAGCGCAACAGAGCCTGGGTAGCAGGGGCCGAACAGCTAGCATCTAGCAGGAGACTAACCACTGGAGAGGTGGGAAGCAAGTCATGCTGCGTAATTACCTGAGATGAGATGATGTCGTGACAAAGAAGGTCTATTCTGTCTAACACGAGAGAGGCATTGATACGGTCATGTCTACTGTAGGATGATAGGGTACCCAAGCTAGAGGTCTTGCATCAATGGCTGCGCAATTGAAAGGGAGGGCCCAGTTGAGGGACGAATAAACTCTTGTTGCTACTCTTTGAGGTCGAGAATGGCCAGCATCTTCGGTCTCTCAACGAAAGGCAATGTTTGTGGCTACGATGCGAAGTCAGGCGTCGTTGGTCGCCAAGCATGGTCCACCGGTGAACTCTGGGCCGTGTGCCAAAGAGGACGAAGTTCCGTCAGTGACAGTGATTTCTGATAGCTGGGGACATGGGCGAATATTATGATGTGTTGTTGTGTGTCCAGAGACTCCCTCCTTTCTCTAAGAGTGACTGGAAATTGCCGAACCCGCTCGCAAAGACGGCAAGCAAATTCGCCGCAATGGACGGACTGCCTTCCTCCAAGGACCTGTACTCGAGTCCAGCCCCAGTGTATGGTTGTCTCTCAACGTTGCGCATGGATCCCATGCGCACCCTCCTCTTTAACTCTGTATTGAAAGCTTGGTGTTCATGATCACGATCACGCCGTCGGTCGAATGGGCAAATCTTGTAGTCATCTTGGGATGCGGTGGCTCGATACGCTGCGCCTACTCTTTCGGCAGGAAAGCAAGGATAAATCGGTGGCATATGGAGGATAGAGTAATGGGGACGGATCATAATCCTCGCAAATACGGCGCTTCGAGGCGTTTAAGTCATGACGTTCGCTGTTCGAGGTTTGGCCTGTCGGGGCAGATGGAATATTGGTAAGAGGTCTCTCCTTCGGCGGCTGACGGTGTGGATGAGTACTAAACGGAATCCTCCTCTGGGATATGAAGGGTGTTAGTTGCGGGAGTGAGCGCAATTACATGTAGTTTAGGGAACTGGATTACCTTGAGCCTTGTGACTTCCGGACCTGGATGGTGCCGCGCCCCTTTCTCCCCATAGCCAACGGCCAGTGTTTGGTCCAGCTTCTCGCGGTATGGCTTCTTCACCGCAAGCCCTCCCCAAGAGTGCGTTTAGCCCGGCCGACGATAGATTGTGACATGTGATCATGTAATGTTTCCCGCGTAGCTGGGAATCGACCGCGGATCAAGGATGGAGTATCGTTCCGAAACGCTGCATGTTCGTCGGCAACTTGGGCCAGTAGAGTTTACCTGGCTCTGGTCGTCGCTCTCGAATACCATCGACCTCCCCGTGTAAAGGCATCAATGGCTTTCAGTGGGCCTCGGTGGTTGTGACAAAAGTTCTGGGGAGCCTTGGGGTCGAGACGGTCGAGGGATCTTGGGGCTGGTATTGGTCTCATTGCTAGAGCGTGACGTGCGTCAGTATGCCATCGAGCAAGAGCAAGGGTGGGTGTGATCAACCGAGGCAAACTGACTGAGAGAAACATTGCAAAGCAATACACCGGCATGTCAACCGTGTCAAGGCGTTCCACCTTCCAACCTTGATTTCGTTGACGACAACGCCCTCGTATTGCTAACCCAAAGTTCAGAATTATTTCCAACCTCCAAGAATCTCGAAGGCAAGGTAACTGAGGAACGGGAGGTAGACGGTCCGGACAACTAGACGCTGGAGTATCGGCTCGTCGAATGCAGTCCTTGCGGGATCGAAAGCCTCGAGACATATGAGGGTCAGGTGGTGAGCACCATTTGTTGGGTCGTCCACTGTCGGTATCATGATGGGCCGTGATGTGCTCGATCGCAGATAAGTCACAGAGACCTGGCAAAGATGGGATGCCGTCTCTGCAAAATCGTCGGTTTGTCGGGAGGGGTAATAGGGCCAACAACTGGCAGCTCTGCGATGGCACTCGTCACTGGGTGAATCGTGGAGCAGAGGAAGAGCTAGGAAATATACATAGCAGAGCACTTACACGCAATACTGGCGAATCCGAGACCGTGGGAACGAGTTGAGACCGTATGGACGCAACATTGGCAGACAGAAACGAAAGCATCATTGGGATCAGTGTTGGCTTGTTACTAGGTTACACAAAGCTTACTAACTTGAAAGGAAGGACTTGCAATGCCTCTTCATAGATCAAAGCACGCTGGCCGCCGGCACACGAGTGCATTATTTGGGTTCTGTATACAACCTGCACATCACTCTTACGAGGTTTACCCGCTCTTAATTTGGATTCTCGGGCATTGCTGTGTCCTCACGTAGATAAGGTACCTTGGATTCAATGTTCCGAGGCGTTCCGGCCACTGTGACTGGATGCAGCGATATCTTTAAACCGAGTCTTGCCCTCTTTAACGGGGCATCACGGTTACACATACATTCTGCCTCAGGCTTTGGAGTACGTTAGGCATTATTAGGTACATGCATCGGTGGCGCAACGTGGCCTTTTCAGCTCTCAGCTGACTGCAGGCCTTGAAAATCATGAATGTACTAGCTACAGTTGAACGGCAGTGTAAATGTATTGAGGTAAATAGTACACATACTTGACATGGATTGGTGTACCTCCCAATACCACCTTGAAAGATCAGCATTTCCTGCGTAGCTAGAGGTACCTATGTAGTTTCCCATGGAATTACCCAGAAGCGGCAGGTGTCCATCTGTTCACCTTCCCTAATTGTACAGAGATTTCCTTCTGCATAGCTGCAGCGCCAGTAGAGCCTCATCTTTTTGCCGATCGTATGCACTGTGTTGAGACGCCGGGTCTGGCATCTTTCATTGCCGGCTTTTCTTTGTTTTCGAACCCTCATCCATGCGAGAAACCTACTCTGTGAATCACTGGCTGCTGATGTACAGATTTAATCCTTACGCCTATCGCGGGTCATGAATGCTGTGACCGGTAACGTGCCGCTAAAGGAGGCAGAGAGGAAATGACATGATGGAAAAATTGATTGAGCTCTTGTTTTCATAATTGATAACTGCAGGTCTGCTACTAGCCTACTAGTCTATAAAAAACAACACATAATACAAGCAGTATGTGTGGCGTCTGCAAGACGGGGGAAGTAATCGCCTCATGGTAGAGACTGGAAGATACTCACCTCCCATCCCATAGAGAACATATCTGCTCAATATAGGAACGTCTCAAAAGCTTTGCCATTCCTGGCCCTTGAGAGTCGGAGGGTAGCAACCCAAAGCGGCGAACGCGGTGTTCAATCATAAGACACGATACTATAACACGCCCTTCGAATCCCCATGCTTTCTTGTTGGGACCTAATTTCTTTTTCTCCGTGACAACACACTGAATTCGAAATTCATCACCCAAGTCGTATAGTTTGTCTACGGCTCTGTGTACACTCGCAGTAGTTTCCATGAAAATCCTTATGAATTCTATGGTTGGTACAAGCAAAGCCTTGTCATGATGGTGGTACACTAGCCAAGCCGATATATATTAGCATGATTAAATACTGACAACTTCGCTTAGCTACTCCAACTTACCTGATTTTAAGGCCCTAGAAATCATTTCCAAACAGGATATAATCTCTTTTGAAAGGCCTAGTGTTCCCTCTGTCTTAAAGTCAAGTGACCCCTGCTTATGGGAGTGCAGCCCGGTGATTTCAATCCAGAAGTTGAAATCTCTCATAGTACTGGTAAAATTGTAGGAACGGAATCGAAAGGGGAAATTTAATTTTTCTTCGGGGCTGGGAGCCTCAAGGGTCTGTGACCATGAAGCCAGTGATTTATGGAAGTCATGCCAGATTTTCCCGAAAAACTCGAGGCATTCGAAGGCCAGGTAACAAATGTTATGAAGAGGGTCTTCTCCCATGGGGATCTCCATGACAGCTAGTGATTGATAGTTGATGAAAGAGAGGAGAAAGGCTTCTCAGTGGTAGAGTTTCGTATCTGAGAGCTCGTATATGTGTCGCGTTCAAAAGCCCTGGTGAAAAGGCTTATGAGAAGAGAGTAAGTGGCAAGCCCTGCTTTGATGTCAGTTCTTGGGTGAGCCGCAGACAGGGAAAACAGATAGAGCAGATATAAGAATTGGGGCCCGTGTGTAAAGTCAGGATAATGAAGTACTTAATTCGGTACGGTTAGGGTTATATCGAAGCAGACTGGAAAGGGACCAGCCAGCTTTAAATATCTTTCAGCTTGGAACTATCTTTGTTCATTCTTATGAGGCTGCACAAACAGATTCGTTGCCAGTGCACGGCGCGATTGAGGCTCGTTGAAAGGGAAACAAACCGCCTATTGTTCCCCAGGCACAAGGTATTAGAAGAACTGTCCAGTCATACTAGTTTGCCGGCATGGCGACAGGCGCCCCATTCATAAAAATAAAGGGGAAATGAAGAATAACCTTTAACCTTTCTTTTTCATCTGTTTAGAGCTTTGCTGCTCCGTGTCTTGAATTTTACTGTCTGTTACAGATGCCAGATCATTATTTTATTTCCCAATTCGAATCGATGGCCTAGTCTCGATAATCTAAAAGAAAAAAGCTATCTGTTACCAAACAAGTACCCCCATGCCTTCGACAATAGTTGACTCTGCATCCTAGCTGCTCTTCGATCTTTTGGCCTGATAGCGCTCATGACCAAACCGAACAGTTGCCAATAACAAGGCAAACGCAAGCAGGCCAATATTGACAGCAAAGGCCCGGCGATAAAGAGGCTTATCGTCTTCTTGGAAGATTTGAGCCCCATAGATGGCGCCGATGTTCGCACTCATGATAATCCTGTAGAGATTTGTTAGGTGCGACTCAGCGACTTAAACTCTATGAGCAACTTACATGGCCATTGCCAAGGATCTTTCCTCCGAGTCTCTACAGGCGAGAGACATCCATGTGATATTGAGAGGGTGCGGAAAGGACGCGAAGGTTTGCGTCCAAACGACGCCGAAGAAACGAACGCCTCGGTTGTCAATCTCCGTGAAAATCCGATTCAAGATGTAGCCAAACATATGGAGACCAACTCCTGCCATAACAGTTTCGCCTCGCTTGTCGCTTTGGAACGTGTTAGTGCTCTCACTTACATCAATTAATGGGAGGATGGTGTTGACTCACAATCGATCGGAGATGTAACTAAAAACAAACGAAACAGGGACTTGTATGAAGAGGCCAACAGAGGCAAGTGCATTGCTGGTAAGAGATGGGAATCCGAAGCTCCGAATGATGGTTGGACCGTAAGTATCAAATCCGCGGAAAGGGCCGTTGTTACCCAAAGTAATCAAAACGTGAATCCAGAGCCTCCAGTTGGAGAACTAGAGGCATAGCGTGTCAGCATGAGAGGGTATTTTGTCGTGAAATAGCTGCGGTACTTACGGCCTTCCTGAAAGAATCAATCCCGATATGCTGCTTCTTTTTATCCTTGAGTGGCTCATCCAAAATAACACGCGTCTTAAGAATGTGCAACTCCCTCTCACTGAAAATTCTCCACTGAGGTAGAAACCAACTCCGCGGGTTTTGGAACGAGTCAGGCAAGCAGAATCCAAGCACGATACCACTCAAGATGGTAAATCCTCCCATGATGATAAATAGCCAGAACCACCCCGGGTAGCCTCCAACACCTTTCATGTGCAGAATACCATAAGCAATGAGCTTGGCTGACGCTTGACCAAGCTGGTTTCCGAAAAAGAATATCATCACCCGCTTGGCTGACTCCTGGCGAGTATACCAGGTGGAGAGGGTCCAGAGGCCACCAGGGATATATCCTGATTCAGTCACGCCCAAGAGGAACCGGGTAGCGAGATACCCGCCATAGTTTTTCTGAAAAGCCTGGAAGGTGCTCACAAGTCCGAAAAGGAACAGTTGGAGTGTGAGCCACTTTCCTGGGCCTACTTTGTAAAGTATCATATTGGAAGGGATCTCAAAGAGAACAATGCCGAGAGATAGAAGCTGCTGACCAACGTTGAATTGAAATTGGTTGATGCCCACATCTTCCATCATGGTGTCTGTGATAGCGTTGGCAATGTTTCCTCGGTCCAACTCTGCATACTGATATTAGCATCAAACGCGTGAGGGAGAATCACGAGTATCTACGTACGTAGGCAAAAGAATCCCAGCGTTAACAAAGGCATGATAATCAAATCAAGCCTACAAGGGTACTCGTCAGCCACCGACATTGATCAGCAGGTTTTAGGGGACTCTACTTACTTCCATTTTGCCTTCTTTTCTTCCGACTCGCTCCAATCAACTTGAACATTTTGTTTCAATTCATCATCATCTTCAAAGGCAATGCTCGCTTTTACAACCTTGTCGACATTGTCGACATTGTCGACCGGCTGGATGTCGGATGCAGCCATGATTACTGCGAAGTGCTGCCAAAAACCTATACACTCTCATCAGTCAATTTTTTACAGGGGGATTTACAATAAATATCTAAAGATCCTTACCCTAGTCTCGACAAGAACACCCATTTGGGTCCTGGAGAAACAGACCATGTATGGCAACATTTATATCCTTATCACGCAATATCGGACTGGTCCCGCCCAGTCGACCTCTTCCCTGGAACTATTATTAACTTCGTCATGGTTCGCTGCATTCTATTAAACGCTACTCACTTGACCCCTGGCAAAATTTGGAGAACTGGAGTCCATCTAAGAAGGAGGTTGGCCGAACCGGCTCGATTGCGTGCTTTGGCCTCTCCACCGCAATAGCTGGGATGGGAATGGTCCGTTCAAGCCCCGTCACGAGGCATCTAACATACATGGTTCGGCAGACAATAAGCCTTGAAATTTCCAAGAAGAACCTGTTAAAGCCTTTCCCTTTGTTCATCGTTTGGGAAGAGTGCGCAGAGTTTGGTGGTGTTGAAGTCGTCTACGGCATAGAACAATGAGAGTGATATGGTCTTCTACAAATCTCTACTCAGGCTTGTGAGACATTCTAAAAGCGCTCTTTTCATAAAAAAGCATTCAATAGCTCGTTTTTAAGCGGACGGCTTGGCTTCTATCAGCTATGGGGGAGGAGAGAAACAACGTGGCTGGCGGCAAGACGAGCCCGGGTTACCAGCCCGTTGGAACCAAACTCGATCCTTGGAGCCCTATGCGGGAATAATGCAGCATGACTTTTCCCGCTGTCAGCGCAAGAGTCAGATTATTTGACAGGCTAATGGTCTCTTGCGTGCTTGAGAAATAGTGGTGCTAGCGGATCACGCAATTCACCAGCAACGCCGGTGGTCCACAATCCAACCGCCAGGGTAAGCTTATGTCGAAAGCCCGCATTGAACGAGAAACTGGCCTGGAATAGTTCAGTAATAAGATTATTTATTTCTGGTAGAGCAATTGGCATTGTCATCAAGTAAAGCCTCTAAAGTCGGCGGCTTAATTCCCCAAATCGGGTCAGATACGCCATGAAGACGCTCACAAACGAGGAGCTGACCTCGCTGGCCGGCCACTACTTTGCCCCAGAAGGTCTCTATCAGTACACAAAGAGTCTTCCCTTTCTCGGAGACCTAAAGTGCAATACGACAGAGCTCACTGCCGGCCAGTGGACCGAAGTGATCGTCGAGTACACAGTCGGAGCTAGCGGTCTGGCTGACGGAGCCTGGATCAAAGGGACATTCAAGTTCTACTCCGACTGGGCCCTTTTCCAGACATCGGACCCCAAGGAGGACAACTATGTCTCGGCCGAGTACCTCCCAGGCCCCTTGTACCCTGGGCAGACGCCGGCGACGGTCCAGTCGTTAGCGGTGCGATTCGACCAGAAGGGCCACGAGCGCCCCTTCCAAAAGGCCGTCATTATCGACATTGTGGATGGCTACATCAACCCTGGTGATAAGATCATCGTGCGCCTTGGTGATAGGCGATGGGGATCAAGGGGAACACGCGTACAGACCTTTGTTGAGGACAAGTTCCTGATGCGCTGGTATATCGACCCCGTTGGAACCTCGCGCTTTGCGCCCATCAAGCCAGACATTGCTTTCCCCATTCTCCCAGGTCGCGTGGCCAAGGCAAAGGCTATTACTCCTCGTTTGGTGAAGCCAAATGTGGCGTTTCCAATTCATATTCATACGGAAGATGCGTGGGGGAATGCGACAACACATGTCGATGGGCTGGAGGCGCGCATCTCAATTGAAAGGGAGGGCAAGAACGAAACTGTGCTGGCAGAGACCAAGAAGCTTCCCAGTCAAGGATGGACTGTTGCCAGTCTGACCACATCATTACCAAGCGACGGCAACTACACGTTATCGGTAGCGATCGTTGATTCAACTGGCTCCAGCCTCGCCTCCATTTCGGAACCCATTAGTGTCGATGGTTCAATACCTGTTCCTCGACCTCTCTTCGCTGATCTCCACGTTCACTCGGACGATACCGTCGGCACCAACTCTACTACCTACAACTTTTCATATGCCCAGCAGGTGGCTGGTCTGGATGTTGTGGGATACACTGCCAACGACTTCAATGTCACTAAAGCCAGGTGGGAAAGCACTCTTGAAATCATCAGGAAGGTGAATTCCCAGGGCGAATTCGTTGTGTTCCCTGGCACTGAATGGTGCGGCAATTCCGCAGCTGGGGGAGATCACAACGTCGTGTTTCTCGATGACCCGACCAACAGCGACCCCGAGTTTCCCTTTGACAGGAACGGGAACGTGGCTCGCAGTTTTGAGTGGAATGAGGACGGCCCGGCCGAGTTAGTCCCTGGAGCATGGCCGTTGGATGAAGTGTACGCGACGTATGCACACTCTCCCGAAAAGCATCTATTGATCCCCCACGTGGGAGGGCGTAGATGCAATCTGGCATGGCATCACCCGAAGCTGGAACGTTTGATTGAGATTGGAAGCGCCTGGGGTCTGTTTGAATGGCTATTGCGAGATGCTATGCAACGAGGCTGGAGGGTTGGAGTGTCTG